TCGATTTTCCATACTAATATAATAAATATAAAAGTGTCAATCTGCAAAAATGTTTATCTGTGTGTCTGTTTGGTACCCTTTTACAACTAAAAAGCTGAAAAGATCTAATGAAAAACGACGTGAAGATGGATTTCACAACGAGGACAACCGTTGGTTATATTTTATTTTAAAATAATTTCAACTAAGTTCGAGTCTATACCTAAAGGGCTATTCTTTTTATAAAATCTCAGCCTTGAACTGAAACAAAATTAGGCGAAGCTAATAAAACAGAATAATGTCGGGGTTCCCACTAATTGTTGTTAATAAACGTTAAAATTTATTATTGTTGTAATTTACATTAACGAGTGAAATTCAAGTGAACGAGCTAACGAAGCCGGTACAACGTCCGGCAATTTAATTTGCAATTAAGAATGATTGAGATTTTATATTATTTTGATGATCTTTAAAATTGTTTTTCGCGTGACTTCCTCTTACATACATAATAAGATACATGAAAATATTAATGCTGTTAAATACTTAACGACATATAAACTTTTTTGGGTTTCAAAATTTATATTATTTTCAAGTTGGTATATTATCCCATAGCGGTGAAATCACCAGGAATTTATCAGGATTCCATACGAGGCAGAGTGGAAGTTCACTTGTTAGTGTATAAACCATGCTGACGGTCACAACTATTATCATAACTATTTATTGTTTCAATAAAAAGCTATATATGTGTATATATACTCGTATATAAAAATGAATCCCTATTTCTTTTTGCCACGCCATAACGTGAGAATGACTTAATTGATTTCATATTTTTTATTGCTTTCCGATACTTTGTAGAAGGTCCTTAAGGAACGAAATGTTAGGATTAAGATACCTCATAACCTGTAACTTCAAATTACTCTTTAAGGATATAGCCATTTTCAACAAGTATATTGCGGTAATTCAGATGTTAACACGTCAACATATTAATATCGACATCCTAGTTTATGCGATTGTGATCTTGTACTCAGAAAGGAGCAACTTTCAATGGCGCTGTGGTTTTGACAAGGGTAAGATCCGAAACAACTCTACAATATTAGGTTAGGTGCTATAACTATAAAGTTTTGGACATCTTAGATGTATGTGTAGGGCTGGCAGATAAGATAAGAAAAAAAAATTGCGATAGAACTAAAAACTTGTTGTCATTTATGTGAATAAACAGCATCAATGAATTTAAAGAAAAAAATGTGTTAACGAAGACGAAAAAAGTAAATATTCTTAAAAAATAATATTACTTTGTGAAACGTGAGTGTAAACGTGAGAACGTTTCATATTCCTTAAAAAATAATCAAATGAAAAGGTAACTAAATATATTTATCAGCTGTTAAATAATCTTTTTACGGTTATTGTATAGATGTGCTTGTAAAATGAATGACAACCCTATCTAACGATCTAAACATACCGACTCTACTGGATCGTTTCATAAATCATTGGCCAAAACTGTACTGTGCATAATTATGTTCTATAACTTAGTTATTTATTATTCAGTTGGCTACTTAGTTAGCTATAACGTTTTGAAGTTATGGCATAGTGAATATTTATAGGTATTTTAACTATGATCTACTGTATATTTAACTTACTAACTGACGTCTGTTAATTAAGGGTAAGCAATTATAGGGTCATCATCTCTTTAATTATTAAACGGGTAATATAAATAAAATTTCTATTAGTTCATATTGTAACAAAGAAACAATAACATGAAAAATATGAATTAAAACACATTTTTTCGCGGGACACCGGTGGAGGATGATGTGATAACCATGAAGTGAGGTCATTTATCGAGATAGTTGAAATCTACGTTATTCCAGAATAAATAGCCTTTATATACTGTTAATATATACACAATCACCCATGTAGTTGGAACATGAATATTTAAAGATTTCAATAGAGAAGGTACGTCGAAGCAACTTATATTACAGTCGCTGTAAGCCGATGAACAATACAGCATTCAACTTCTGACGTTGAAGGATTACATCTGACAATCGTATGTCGCCTATAAATTGCTAAAACATGCTGCTATCAGGTGCAAGGTACATATTTATGTGATATTTGCTTGTTTTTTTTATTTAATTTAAATACTGAGTTTTACTGTGAATCATGATAATTTTCACTGCTTATGTGGACAGATATTAAAATACAACCACTCTGATTCAATCATACAATCATTTACAAAAATATGTGAACACTATTATTACCTATACATGGATAAGTATTGTGGATTATATTATTGAGAAATATATTTTGTTTGCAAAATCATATGTTTTTTATGTTGAAATACAAACAAGCTTATAGTCTGCCTGATTTCAGCGGTAATCGCCATCTATATACATACACGAACAGTACCATAGGCATTATGTTACGTCCATAGTAACACTAGTGCGTTGCTACTCTGTAATTTCCCTACGTTCTCTCACCCATCAATCGTGTTTCGGTTGCATTTTACAAAGCGAGCTATTGAGTGAAATACCTCAGACAGAGGTATCTATGTAGATTATCTTGTCCAACGGTTACCTGGGAAAATTGTAATGAATGGTTGACATTGCAAAAATATTTATATTGAATAAAATGCAAGTATGATTAAAAGGAAGGAATAGGATTGTTAGTAACGTGGATTGAAGAACCCATTGCTTGCAATGTACGATGTCAGGTTGACAATCACGATGGGTTCCCCTGGAATCCATCGTGATAAGTTCCTTGTAATTTATTTATACGAATTAGGTGTTAGGTCCTTGTAATTTGTTACGAAGGGCTAACTGACCTGACATGCTCATCTTGTCATATCACCCGCCAGCAGAAACTGGTATCGCAGGCGGGTGGACAAATCATCTATTAAAAAAATACATAAAATTAAGGAATTTTACACAATTACTAGATTAGTTATCACAGTCTGTATGTTGACTGCTTCTGACGTACTGATAGACAATGCATAGCGTTTTTTAAGCTATTACGTTAATACTCGTCAGACAGATTAAATAATATTTAGTAGCTGCAAACAGTCTGGAAGTCAAGGTCCATCTTCATGCTAAGTGGTAGACGCACGCTAGCTGCCATTACGATTATTAGAACGAGAACTCCAATAGGAGGCGTGCTGCGACCCTATAAACTAATACGGTGGAAAGTCAGTAGTCTAACTTACGGCCTCGGTGTTCTAGTGGTTTAGAACACCACTTTACTTCCGATGGTCGCGGGTTCGATTCCTCGTATGACACTAACATTTCTAATAACTAGTATGATTGTATGTCTGGTATATCTATGTATTTGTATAAGTTATCTAGCACCCTAGCTTCCTTAGCAGCACAGCTAGCTTCAGCTAGCTTAACTTGGGACTAGATGCCGCTATCAGTTAGTTACCGTATCAGTTGTCCTGAGATTATTGTTATTACTATTACGGCAAAATCTTCTGAAAAATGAACAGTATAAATAGTCCCACAGATGATAAATGTTTCGTCAATAATTATATGAAGTGCAGATTATAATAATTATAATAATATTGTGTTAATATACTTAAGATACAATATGAAACAACCGAAAGTAGATGAATAACACAGAAATTGTTAATCTGAATCTAAGGTATGAGAGACGGCGGTATGGTGACCTCTGCTTTTGATTCAAATATACTGGGCAAAATATAGGCATGTTAAGGGTAACGTTCAATACAATGTCGTGTTTTAATAATTCCATCTGGGTTAACAGTCGTAACGATATGTTTGTTTGTTTGTCAATATAGTATAACTAGGTATGAGTAGTGACAATTGTACAAAATAATACTATGATTAATCATATTTTTTACTCATTAACTAACTTGAACTACTGCCTAATTTTTTTTGTTCCTAGCTGGGCTACGCTTCAAGCTTTTACCGATATTAACACTATGTATACTTTGCTAAAAGAATCGCCATTTTTTTTCATTGCGTATTTTCGTTCTGTTTACACAACTCAATATTAAATAAAAGTTTTTAATTAAATTTCGAGCACCACATCCGGGAGGAAACGTCCCAATTTTCGGGCTTAATAAAATACCCAATGATACATTGTGGACACTGTTAATTTATATTTTCAGCTTTAAATTCACAATATTGTGTTTTTGTATAATAATGAAAGAGAGCTTGGACATGCTGAGGTTGATTCAGAAAATACAAAATACACATCTTTTAGAAAGGGAATATGAGAGAGAGAGACAGTGAGAAAATTCAATTTGAGCTCAATGTCTTTTCAAATTGTGTTGTAAGAGTTCATGACTCTTATCAATTACCTACTATTTTGTAAATACTTATAAAGTCCAAGTACTTTGTGAATATAAATGTTGTTACTGTATGTTGTATGTAACTTAGACCCTCGACGACATTTTACTTAATCTATTTAGTGTAAACCTAGGGAACCCATACTTTATGATTTAATTAACGTAAAAGGCTATCTACAAAATAGGGCGCCGAAACTGGGCAGCATAAATCTCACCTAAAGGCAATTCTCAGATTAGATTCCCAGAAAGTGCAATACTATTCGCTCGGAAGACTCAAGGTTTCAATAAGTGTGGAGTGTATAAAGGACATAATTAGAAATTCTATAATATTAATAAAAATTGTTGCATACAAAATGTACGGGAATAAAAACTTGAGTTTGTTTCTACAGATTTTTTATCCAATAATTTTAAATGCATGTATGTCTTAATTACCAATTACGTACTAAAACCTTCTACCCAAAGTGTAGGTATAGTATTATAATTGCTAACTGCTATACGATATTTTTAAACCACCTCTGTAATATATTTTACATAAGTTCGCCAGTTTAGCAGTGATTCTGAATTTTTGGCAATAGATACGGTTGCTATTTCAAATGATGATGAACTTACTACTACAAAAAATATTCCACATATTTTGTTTGTCATTGTTACCACACGTCTATGTTTTATTTGTTCGTGATAATAAAACTGTTCATTCTGATTTTGATTATTTGTAATTATATCGATTTACATTATAAAATAGAAAAGAAGGCCAAAGTAAAATAAAAATACGGAAATTACCAAATTTTTCTGAAATACGAAATGTATTAAAATCCTCTTGTTTTTAAATTATTATATGTGTACTGGGGCACATCTTTAATTAACTTATACGTTATGTATTAATAGTAGCTTACTTTTTAATATTTCTACTGAATAAGTGACTTACAAACTTTCTTTTACTATTTGACTGATAAAATAATTAAAGATCTTTAAAAACAAAATTGAATGGTTCTGCAGCGTAGGTTATGGATGTTGTTCTCTTTAAAGTCAGCGGTTCGCCGATCCATTCGATTTTAAAGTTTTGTAACAATCTTGCAATCATAGTCTCTATCTCTAACTCGGCGATGCGACGACCTGAAATCATTAAAAATGATATTGTATCAACAATTTTAATAGAAATTATTGTGGGTACAATATTACTTACTGTTACTATGTTACTATACATCAATAGTTTTTTTAAGTTACAGGTATAGTTATTTAGGTGTCCTGTCCTCACTATGACGGGTGATGAGACAATGACATTTGTGGAAGAATTTAATAGAATTTAGGTACAGGAGAAAAAAAGAAGGTGCGGTCGAAAACTGCATTGGTTGAATATATAGATTAGTATAAGAAATGTATTATGTTTAAATTAAAAAGTATTTAATTATTTACCTATACAGCTGCGGGCCCCAAAACCGAATGGACTAGTAACGAATGGATGTGTGTTTCCATAATATAAGGGATCATCTTTTCCTACAAGCCACCTTTCTGGGATATATTCGTTAGGTCTGGGGTAATTCTCCTCCATCCTTGACATAATTTCATGAAAGAATACGACAAACATCTGAAAATATACAGAAATACATCGATTAGTTACTTGCACAAACATAATTGCATTTAAGTAAAATGCAAGTTATGAGGCAATAATTATAAATTAAAATATTTTGAAATACAAAACGAAACTAACTTCTTTAGGTATGTTAAATCCCATTACATTATGTTCCTTAGTCGTCCTTCGTAAATTTCCAGATACGATGGGCATTACCCTCATAGACTCCTTGATGCAAGCTTTTAAATATGGTCTTTTCACCTCGTTCGACAAAATCTGTTCTCTCAATTTCTCCTGTTTTTCGGGATTTGCGGCAAGTAAATAAAGCGTCAACAATAGTGTATTAGAGGTCTGCAACAAAAAATATACGAAAACACTATATTATTTGCCATGAAAAGGAATAACATTTAACCGCTTACGCAGACGAAAAGGGTCCTGCAGATCAGAGAAACGATGTTACTTCAAAATATATTGACGCTTCAGTTAAAAAAATTAAATGACTATTATTTATTAGTTACAAAACAGTTAGTTACTATTAAGATGGCTATTTTGAACTGAAAGTAATTTAATAATCTGCATTGTGCATATATAGAAATGCATTTTTCAGCATTGTTCAATAACTCACCGTATCTACACCAGCAAATAACATGTCAGATGCCATAATATGTGCAACAGTTTCATCTATTTCAAGTAGTTTTTCAAGAACTCCTCTTTCTTCATCAGTGTTAGTACTCTTCGTTTTAAGCTTTTTTAGTGTCTCATCGACAAAGTATTTTGTTAAACTAAAATACATAGAACTAATTATATTACATGTACATTACACAGTATGGTCACTGTGTAAAATTTTCAAAGGTATGAACTCACAATTATACAAGTACGTTGTATTTTTCGGGCATCAAATTTGCAACTAAACTAAGCAACCACCAAAACAAAAGACAGTAGATGCATTAATTCTGCTTTGTCATTATTATGGCGTCATACTGTTAAAGAAGCTGAATTTTTAACTAATTATATTTATGTTAATATAGTTTATACTAGCTGACCCGTGCAACTTCGTCTGCATTTCGTTTCCCCATCTTTTGCAATATTTTTCATTGCAACGCCGCTCCTATTGGTTGTAGCGTAGTGTTATACGTAGTTTAAAGCCTTCCTTGACAAATGGACTATCCAACACAAAAAGAATTTTTCAATTCGTACCAGTAAGTATACTATAACCTGCCCAGGAGTATGAAGAATAATTGTACCAAGTTTCGTTAAAATCCGTCGAGTAGTTTTTGTTTCTATAACGAACATACAGACAGACAGACAAAAATTTTACTGATTGCATTTTTGACATCAGTATCGATCACTAATCACCCCCTGATAGTTATTTTGGAAATAAATCTCATGTACAGAATTGATCTCTCTACAGATTTATTATAAGTATACATAGATAGATTACCTGGAAATTTTTTTATTGACGGATACCAATTGCAGCACTGGGCGTAATTTTGTTGTTTGCATATTGTTAGTTATGGAGAAGTAAACACTGAATTCCTTTGTCGTTGTTGCTGCTTTATATCTCTGCCTGATAATACATTTTTATCATCAGGCCATCATTTAGAAGTATATCTTTACGTATGTAGTATTACTTTACTAATATATTTCATTTTGAACTGAAATACTTACTTGAAAACATTTTTAATTAGTATTTGCAGCTACAGCTCATTTAATTGTAGACATGACTTTTATAAATAGATATGTACGTAAATACCGACATATACAAAAAGTCTCATAACGCACCTGTTTTTGTCATGCTAGTACGTAGGAATTTCTCCATTTTGTGCAGTTTGTTTCAGTATTCAATATTTTAAATTTCGAATTGCACTAAACATTTTAAATTATATAATACTTTCTAAACGTAAACATGCAATACAGACTATGTCGGCGTTAATACTGAGTCAGACTGTCAGATATCATATCCTATCGGCCTTAGGCTCTTAGGAGCTGAACCCAGATGACCGATTAAACAAAACCATTATATTATTATACTAAGATTTACGTTATTTCGTATTCACGAACGATATTTTTTTTATAATTATTTAGGCCAATAAATAATAGACACATTGTTTATATCACATAATACTTTTGTTACAAATATCGTAGTAAATGTGACATTGACTAAGTTAACCACTAATTGCTATTATATTGTTTTTTTTTAAAGTGTGGTATAGAATTTTCTTTTCTCTTACTATTCCGTTACCACCACCAGTATTATTCTACCGAATTTCTAATTTTCCACTTATACATATATATGTATATATATAAATCTAGTAATACTTCGTTTTTGGAAGCGTTTTTTATTAGATTTTTTCTTGAATTTTACTGGAAGAAATTCCTTTTAGAGATTAACGTTGTCTAAGACGTTAGGTGTTACTTATAAATGTATGCAACCTCATTTTGCTATATAATGTAACTTTTAAAAAAAGAACACAGAACACTAACTAAATTTGTCATTCTGAGCTAATTGAATGGAGGGAAAATACAAGATCCTTTACATGAGTACAAAATATTTGTTTTATTTACAAAAGAACAAAAGGATAGTACAAACATTTTGGTCTTCGGAGCCGGATAGCTTTATAAACACTGTAGTTGATAAAAAGTACAATCCTCCACATGTATAAAGAAGTCCATTATAGCGGTAAAGTTATGTTGCCTTGAGTGTGGGAGCCATTTTATACTTTTAATAAGAAGAAACGGATGGTGCCGCCGTTGCAAATTTGAGCTGGTGCTGTTGAGCACAATCTTCTATTTGATGGGAAGTTGATAGAAACATCATAGCCGTGACTACATATCTTAAGTGTTGTGTAAGTGAAAAATTGCTGTGAGTACATTCAATTCTAATTTAGTAGGAACGTTCAAATGAAGAATTATCAAATCATTGAAGAAGTTCAAGCGAAGTTCGACTTTAATGACTATTAGTGAGCAACAGAGACTTAAATTTTATTTTCATATAATAAGGCATAATTTGCAGAACTGTCTATTAGTACATTCAATACATTTTATTTATAAATAGAAAAATATATTTAGTTATGTAATATTTCATTATTTTATCAATTTGATACTTATAAAATAGTTCACATAATTTCAAAAATAGAACGCTGTATATACCTACGATTTGTACAAAATCTAATTCCAGGAAATCGTTCCATTTCTTGTTTTAATTTTTAATTTATTATTTAATTTGAAAATGGAATCTCTTATTAATGTACAAAAAGATCTTCAAAAATGTATAGATAAAGCATTAATTAATTTTAAGAAATGTCCAAAGGACAACCTTTCAGTAGAATATGTTGAGATCAGAATTGAAAATTTAGAACGTAATTGGATTTTATTTAGAGAAAATAATAGTAGACTGTATGAAATTTCTATACCGGAACAATTAGAGAATTCATGTTATGTAAAAAATGATATGTATAATCAAACAGAGGAAAGTTATATTGCGGGAAAAACTTATATGAAAATTGTATTGAAAAATGTAGATATATCTCTATATGGGTCAAATATAAATAATAATGAGGCCAAATCAGCTCCATCCGTGAAACTTCCTAAGATTTCGATTCCATTATTTACAGGTAAATATTCCGAATGGACAACATTTCGCGATTTATTTGTATCCTTAATACACAAAAATAGTCAACTAGACAACGTGCAAAAGTTGCACTATATAAAAAGTCATCTCACGGGTGAGGCAGAGTTGTTGATTAGACATACACCTATCACTAACTCTAATTACCTTCAGTGTTGGTCTCAGCTAGAGAAACGATACAATAATAAAAAATATTTAGCTAACTGTATTTTAAATCGTTTATTTACACAACGGCATGTCAATATAGAATCTGCTTCAGCAATAAAGGATTTGCTGGATACCACCACTGACTGTCTTAGTGCTTTAAATAATTTAGATATTGATGTGAGTACATGGGATATAATGATCATACATATAATTACATTTAAATTAGATAACGAAACACGAAAGCAATGGGAGTTAACAATTTCTAGTTCCGGTAACAATTGTGACGAGTTACCGACTTTAGCACAGTTTAAACATTTTTTAGAAAGTCGTTTTCGTGCACTTGAATTTATTGAACCAAAAAGGGAATCAGTACAATACAATAATGATTTACAAAATTCATATTTAAGTACAAAGGTTTTAGTTGCCACCAATAGATCAACCATGCGTTGTGAATATTGTTCTGATTATCACAAACTTTGTTTTTGTAAAATGTTCGCAAAACAAAATGTAAATATTAGACGAGATTTTGTTGCCAAAAACAAAATGTGCTTTAATTGCTTAGGTAGTAATCATACTGTTTATGATTGTAAAAAGATTATGAATTGCCGAATTTGTATGAAGAGACATCATTCTCTACTTCATCCAGCCACAGAAACAGAGAGAGATAGAGATCAAAATCATAAGTCAAATACGGAAAATGTCAATCCTTCTATTGATACTACTCCGATAGTATCCTGTATTTCTACAAAACAAGCAATTAACACCGGTCAAGTTTTATTAGCAACAGCAAGTCTAAATGTAGAGTCCAATTCAGGTGAATTCATGCCATACCGTGCTTTACTAGATCAAGGCTCACAAGCTTGCTTCATCACAGAGGAAGCAGTTCATTCATTGAAACTACATAAAATTCCTATTTCAGGAATGATTTCAGGTTTAGATAACTGTAATACGTTAAGGGCTACTCATATGGTGAAAACTACTGTACAGTCAAGCGTTAACCATAACTTTAAAATGGAAATAAGTGCTTATGTTTTGAATAATATTACGTCGTATCTACCTGAAAGAAAGGTTGACATGTTAGATTGGATAGAAGTGAAAGATTTAACTTTAGCAGACCCTCAATTCAAATCTCCTAATAAAATAGATCTTTTATTGGGTGCAGAAGTTTCTAGTTATATTTTAAAGCCAGATGTAAAAAGAAGCCCAGCTGGAAGTTTGATAGCACAAAGTACTCATCTAGGGTGGGTCCTCTCAGGTAGAATTGAATCAAAGAATATAAATAATGACAATACAGAAATTGCTATAGGAATGCATGAACGATTAAACAAAGACAACACAAAAAGTATTTATAGATTTAGTAAACTACGTGGTAAAATAAAAGAGATGTATATTTATAAAGAAAATTAATGTTTCTAGTACAAAAAATAAACTATATACAGAACATATAATGACAGATATTAAATAATAGAACAAATAAAGAACAACATAAAAAAAAAAAATATATATATTAATTAGATCATAGTAAAAAAAGGATAAGGGATGGGGGAAAGAACAACTTAGAAAAGTACAAGGTCAACAAAACAAAGGTCAAATAAAAAAAATGAATACTTAGCATAGTGCTATAATAAATTATAACAACACATCAAAACCTAACTCAATATTCATATGAATTATTGTAGACTGTACTTTAGAATGTATTTATAGGATTTTAAGATTTAACGCAAATGAATTGATTTTACGAGTATTGTCAGTACCTGATATTGTATTACCTATGTCAAACTGTCAATCAGATAGAGATTATTAGAGTATTAAGAATTTTATTGATTGAAATAAGATAACATTTTATTATTGTGATTATAGTTTGTTGTGTATATTTTAGAACAACTGGGAAATTAAATATGTTAATCATATGTTAGAGGTTTATAGAGTTCTTTTGTGCCTATGTATACTATTTTATGAATTTTCCAATTTGTTCGTTGATCTAGTACACTTATATATAATGATATT